ACGTGCGGTTACAGTAGAATGTCCAGGTTGTCCTCGTTGTCTATTGAGAATTATTGGAAAACATTCGCAACAATGAAGGTTTCTACGACCATGTCATCAATAATTTTGCTGCTAAAAACCGGAGAATAGATTTGGTCTTCAATTAAATCTTGGTGAGTTGATTGCTATCAGTTCATTTATTAGATACCACTGCTTCCCTTACCAAAAATAGTACCCCACGTCACTGCCCTGTAGTCTGGTATAAGTTTAGAAATAATGTATGTAAAACATAAAATTAAGAAGTTTTCAATCGAGGTCAGAGGTTCTCACGATTGTGACTGATGTTGATTTATGATAACCAATAGTAGTTTTCACATCCAATTTAAAATAATACAGCCAATTGCAACTCATCTCCTGTGTAGTCCAATGAACGCATATGTATTACCTTTAGAGGCCGTAGTGTCCTATATGACAGCTGCATGAAACTTGCTAGTATCGTGACGGCAAGAATTATATTCTGCAGTGTGCGTACATATGTTTCACGTGACCAGCATCTCTCCAGTTCTCCACATGCATCCACTTTGCTTCCAGCGGTTTCTCAGCGATTCGGCATTAATGTTGTCAAATCAGCGCGGAAAGACTCAATTTTTATCCAATAAGGCTTTACCATGGACAACAGTTAAATGCAAATATATGTATATATATATGTTCCGTGTTCATTGTGATTTTCTGTATTGGAATAGGGAAGAACTTGCACGATGATGTCTGCCATTCGTATATTGAAGAAAACGCTACCATTGGCCATCGCCGTGCGATGCGAGCTGCAGAATGCGGCTGGTAGATTATCGCACGATGAAATTCCTAGCACTTTCTACTCACATTCATTTCCGTCACGGCTCTCGGCAATATCTGACTTTCCCTTCTCGGTTCTGTCGATGTCTATTGTTCCATCTGATTTTCTTTAAGCAAATCTGAAGTTATAACTGTGCTTAAGTAATTGATTCACAGTCCATGAAGATATTTGGGGGAACGTAGATGTACTCCACCATTTCTAACCTCGGCATAAAATGCAGAGGAATGATTAGCTTCAAGCTCCGACAGCTTTACTTCCGGCGAAACAGTTCACCGTGTGCATTGCATAGATCGGTGCGTGTGCCACAGTGTCAGTCTTGATGCCACGTAGAAGAAAAAGAAGAATCTCTTGCCCGTTCAGGAAATGGAACATCGATTCCTAGGTCGTCCAGCCCATAATTTAGTCTCTTTATTGCCGGGAACATCCATTGCATAGCGATTGTTAGAGCGCTATTTTTTGCAAAGAATCTGTCGTCTATTTTCTCTGTAAACTTGACTGTACTTGAAACAGTTTTCTTCCCAGCTTTTCGCTTTCTACTTCGTGGCAACGTCACCTGAAACAAAATTTCAACCGTATTTCATGTCTGCACATGAGCGCAGAAAACTGCTGACTATCTTAGATAAATAATATAAACTTATCAGGCGTGTAAAGGATAGGCAATGCGTCGACGTATTGAATTTTGTAACCGTAATTCTTTTCATATCAGATGATGCAACTAATTTCAAATACAGATCTCCTATCAAGAAGCGAATTAATCTTTATAAGAGACATCTTGATCTAAAGGCACCATGCAGGAACCTCAGCAATGTTGTTGATTTACATTCTTAATTACAATGTACTACTGTAAACGAACTGTATTACTGTTAACACAAGATGATACACAACTGACCCCAGCACCAGCAGACGCCAAGGACAACATCTGGTTTTTCTGAGGGACAAGCAAGCTGCAGGTCACTTGAAAACCCAGAACGGAGCAGGAAGTATCCAGCTGCGTTTTCTGGGAATTTCAATGCTTAACTTCGACGGTCCAGGTTTTTGAAAATTTGAGACTTGATAGATACGAGTCGCAATTATTTTCGAAGGGGCGTGCCGAGCGATCGTTAGCGTACCTTCATTTATTTGAGAGCTGTCAGAAGGACCGTCTTCTACTTAGGCCAAATTTACATGGATCTTGTCAGGGATTGGCGGAATGGAAATGAGAGTAACACCCAAATTTTAGGTTCAGCCAATCAGCAAAATTTCAGAGGAGAGGAAACTGGGCGTTCCCGGAACCGTCAAGACTTCTGCCTCTCCGGAGGAGTCAGTCGCCTAAAGGGATTAACAGGAGTAAGCTTCCGGACGTGGAATCGGCGTTGGCCGAGTCCGGTACACAAATTCAAAGTGCTACAACCTTGTAAAGTGTAATTCTAGTTCACATCTACAATAAAGAGCAACAGTGTTTGTGAAGTGTGTGTTTTAAGTGTTCCCTCTCCCTTTGTATGAGCAAGGCCCAGAAGTCGCCCTGAGACAGAATCTCGTCCTACCGTCGGAGCAGTCGGAACCCCAAGCGCCCGCCTATCCAAGTCCCACCTTTGTTTTCCCAGTTCCAAATTCGTGGATTTCACCCAAGTCCACTGGCGCCCATACAAATTCAAATTCAGAGTAATCCCACATGGTACCCTGAACCAGACAGCAACAAGGAAGAGGCGGATGAAAGTAACACCAACGTAAGGGCACTAAGAGGACAGTTATAAGTGGCGACCAATTTGTGGGGCTTGAAGCCTCACTGAGTGGGTCAGTTATATTGAGCCGTTACACTTATTAATAAATAGAAGAGTAGCAAGGTCAGTGTAACAAATGTAATATAATGTTGTATTTTAGCGTCCTGTTACACTGATTTTCGTCCGTGATATGTATGCAGTGTCCGTCTTTTAGTGCACTCAATTTCACTTGTTATTTCACAACATGTTTCTGCACTATAGTGCCATCATCAGGTGCTCCATTTACGTTAATCTATTTCATTGCTTGCCATTATGTCATTGTAAATTTTAAAAAGTATTCAAAAATGTTCGTCAATTATAATAAATATTTATATACTAAAACCTTGTTAAGATTATTTATCTTATCTGTCCCAATTCTAACACCGCGCCTAGTTCCACCACTATGGGAGTCGTTCCTCTTACATCAGTGTATATCGTGTCTTGTGTTGTATGTTCCCTCTTTGGTTGCGGGTGCTGTAATGTAAGTACATGTTTCGGCCACTATTGCCCATCATCGATAGCTTAGTCCACCACAGCTCGAACCCCACGCTACCACATGATTCACTGGATCATACACAGACAGACATAGGCCAACAATAAAATATTTTATAAGAGTTTCAATCTCTATTCCAACCAGAGCGTCAAAGTATACTGTGAAATGAGACTCCGGTTAAACAATAATACTACACTAATACCACGGAGCTCCAAGCAGTTAACTATACGTGTGCAAGTCATGAATATACCACTATATGTCCGCTGGAATATAACAACAAGATCGCAGCAACTGACTTCATAGTATGGAATATTACGTGAATAGTTCTTAATCATATTTTATTGTATAATATGTAGCCAAGGGGATATTGACCTAGACCGTTTCGTTGTTGTGTTACGACGGATCACAGTAAAGAATTTTAATCTATAAGACGTTCTACGTAACCAACAGTAGAAAAATTAAGGCGTCGTTATATCCCTCTACTTATACAGAGTGCGTCAATGAATCGGATGATTTGGCAGCGGTGTTTCCTCCTGAATGGGTTGCAGGGAAAGGATACCACTCCTGCCACCCTCCAGCCTACTTCAAAGCGTCTTAGTTGCAATGGAGCCGTGGACTGGAGCACAAAGTACTTTTGCTGTGAAAGCACCTTACAAAAACGGTGACACTTTCGTGATCGCTCAGCTTGAATTTCGAAGAGAATTTGGTATTATTGCAATAGTGCTGTTCCATCTGCCCATGCCATCAAGATCTGGGTTCAAAACTTTGAGGCTACTGGTTCTACACTAAAGAAGAAATGTGGTAGCGTAAAAACAGAACGTACACCCGAGACTGTAGCGACAGTGAGAGAAGCCATTGAACGAAGTCAACGCCGGTCTGCGCGTCACCAGACGCGGGTCACTCGGGCTGTCCGAAGCCAGCGTTCGGCGGATTTTGCACAAAGATCTCCACTTCTACCCCTATAAAATTCATATCTCCAGATATGGGGACATATCTGGAGATATGTCACCTGTCGCCAGGTCACCTGATCTTTCCACATGTGATTTTTTTCCTCTGGGGGTATCTGAAATCCCCAGTTTTCAAAGCTCCAGCACCCACAGAGTTCAGGAGTTCAAACATCGAATTCGGAAAGAAGTTGAACGAATTCCCGTAGAGATGCTACAGAGGGTAATGAGAGACTTTAGAAAGAGACTTACCGAGTGCCTACAGCAGAATGGTGGTCATTTGTCGGGTGTTATTTTCGGGGAATAGACTTATGTTTTCAGTGATTTAATTGGTAAAACCAAAGGCTTTTATATTTATACTGTATTCACGTGTTAAAACCAAATAAATGCAATAGTTTACTGTTCATAGCGTTTTTAAAATCGCCCGATTCATTGACGCACTCTGTACAAGACATTTAATTAACGTTATCTGATACTAATTCTTTTAACAAACACAACTTATTTCATTTGTATTAATATTTCATTCTCGACTTTTAGGCTTGTAGAAATCTCGTTATGAAAAATTACCTTCAACATATTTGTAAAGCGCTTCCTTTCATCGCTGACCACGCCTTCTGATGGTGGCCAGTAGTTGCCGAAACATGTGCAGGGGGACTTTCACATTCCCAAACGAATGCTGTCCCACTTGACGTGCCATACTATTCAATAAGCTAATAATCGCTGAGCTAGTCAGATATTTCCCCATCTTTTATGCAGCCCGTAGGATCTCATCCTGAGCTAGAAGAATCCAGACCAACTGATAATTTTTTCGGTTTCCATACTTAATTTTTCTTTATTTCCCTATATCCCCACGTATGCTACGTACGCAGCCCAGCTCATCTTCTTTAATTAATGAAAACTGGCTGATATAGTGTAGTGATAATAACCAAGCTTTAAAGTCACGTAACAACTTTTAGTTTTTACTGTTAGTACAAATGCTCAACATCTCGGAGATGGCGTTGCCATTTATAGTCGCAGCCCTAGCTGATGATTTAGTTGTACTAAAACAAGGAAATCTCAAAGGGCATCGGATGACGTCACGGAAGGGCGGTGAGATATTTGCTTTTCAAGAAATCCCTTATGCCAAACCACCAGTAGGGGAGTTGAGATTCAAGGTATGTTCTCATGTTTTAAATGTTTTCTCTCGGCACAAGAAAAGGACAATAGATTAATAATTTTGTTTAAGCACTGAATGTCAACATTGCAACTCGTGAAACAGCGAAGATATTCAATGAGCAGACACGCAATAAACAGCTTACATACTCAAGACATATGATCTAAAATGTTGACAGTTTTCAAAGAGGATGAGATGGCCAGGGCATGTAGCACGCATGGGGAGAAAAATAATGCGTATAGAGTTTTTGTGGGAAAGCCAGGAATTAACAGACCTAGACGTTAGTGAGAATATAATATTAAGAACGGTTCAGAGAAGTAGGGTGAATGGTATGGACTGGATTCATCTGGCTCAGGATAAGGACCAGTGGAGGCCACTTCTGAACACTGAATGATCCTTCCGATTACATAAACGTTGGGAAATTCTTGAGTAGCTGAGGTACTGGGGACTTCACTAGAAGGACTGAACCCCATGGATTTACTTAATTAAATAGTTTTATTGCAGACAATTAAAGGGTCGACAGCTTTATGACAAATAATTAGTTTGTTGAGGCACTATGCTACAAGTCGGAATGTCCCGGGTTCGATTTCCGATGAGGTCACTGGATTTTTCAATTGACCTAATCCTTCCAGTGATACTATGGCCCTTGGGTCGACTGAGCCTCTAAGAGTAATGAGTACCAGGAATCTTACTGGGATATGAAGGGCGGCCGGCGCGTAGCTCTGACCACTGCAATCTGTGAACCGATTATCTAGAAGATATGGGAGCCTCGGTGTCCCATAACCCTCTTGGGCTCCGCCGCCTGTTACAGGATATCTTTACTATCTTTTCGAATAGTTATTCTGCATCTCCTGCAGAAATTTGAAAGTGACAGAGAAGTCGCTGCATCAGCCCTGGTTCAGTTGATTTATTATGCTGACTGAACGGAATTGGTGCCAAAGCTTAAGCTGGGCGTATAAGGTGCTGGTGTAGCGTAAACATAAGCCTGCACAAGCAATGAGTCATAGTAAATCTCCACAGAGTCTTCAGTAGAAAAAGGCGGAATACAAAACAAATATTTAATAACAATCACAGATATAACAAATTAATAACACAAAATTCACAATAATCGAAGAAAATAAAGGTGAACCGAAACTACTCTGAACAATAGCTCCAGTAGAACAAGATACGGCGAGCCCGACACTTTGGTCGCCCTAAATGCAAATCAAACATCATTATGTAATCACTCGCGCGTCTGTATGACACAGACCGAGAGAAGTATACTACCCGTACATTAAAGTAGAAGATTCACGAAACACAAATCGTAATACGGCATTACGGTACAATACTTTTTCACGAACGTAAAGTAAATGAATAAAACAAATGGGTCCTTATAAAATGAAAAATCAACCCCAAAATCTTGTCGCAATATTCTCCAATGACTCCCTTGCCCTCATCGGACTAGGTAAAGAGTCCTGACAATTTACAAGTACACAAGGCTACTGAGATCCAGTTTACATCCATCTCCGCCCACCAACGGAAAGCAATGGAGAGACAGAGAGAGAGAGAGATAGAAGCTAGTTAAGACAAATCCAGGCAAAACTTCATTCCAGAACATGGAGGGAAGGGAAATCGCGTGATAGATAAGATGATCGGACATAATATGGGAAATACGTCACAACTCGCACGTTTCGGTGTGAGGAGAAAAGGAAAGACAACGGAGACATAAGCCCGAAATCGCCACATCTCAGCCGTCGAACATATTGCAAGGCTCATTGCAATTACTGTATCATGTAAAAGGTAATGCTATCCCCGTAACAGGCCGTAGAGCCCCATAGGGTTGTGAGACGTCGAGGCACCCACATCTTCAGGACAGTTGGCTCACAGATGGCGGTGAGGTTGTCAGCCTTACTCGCCGACAGGTCGCCCTTTATTCCCAATAAGTTTCCTGGTACTCATTTCTGTTACAGGCTAACTACGCCATGAAGACGTATGGGGGAGTGGATTATAGATACATATTTCCTTGACCTCGGCACTAGTTGGAGGTGAGTTGTCCGCTTCACGCCCCGGCCGCTTTACCCCAGGGAAAGAGCCCCCGGTACCCATTGGATAGGCTGGGTGGGTCCCAGAGACAGTCTGGATGACGTGGAGAAGAGAACGTTTTTCATCCTACCGAGACTCGAACTCCGCAACCAGTCGCTATCCCGGCTCCTGCTGAAAAGGTTAGGTCAATTAGAAAGTCCAGTGACCTCTACAGAAATCGAACCAATTACCTTCCCGCTTGTAGCACAGACCCTCAACCAGCTATGCTACCGTGTGCCCATTGTATCACGTACTTATCGCAAATTTACTCGCAAGCCGAGTGGATCTACTGATGCGTTACGTACTATACATACCCTACTACCCTCTCCGGAAAGAATCCGACAAAGTTCTATATCTGGGTGGTTACAATACATAATCCTCTTCAAAGCAGGCCCCTTGTGACTCCACACACTTAGCCCAGAGGTCCTTCCATCACTGGAAGAAATACTGGAAGGCTTCTTTTGGAAAGGCGTGTAGCTGCGCCGTCGCGTTCTGTATGATGTCCTCGCGGCTGTCAAAACGGGAACCTTTTATCGGTGTCTTCAATTTTGGGAACAGCCAGAAATCACAAGGAGCCATATCAGGAGAGTAGGGAGCCTTGCGAACCTGCGGAATGCCGTGCTTGGCCAGGAAACCCTGGATCAGGTGCGATGAATGAGCTGGGGCGTTGTCATGATGCAGCTGCCAGTTGCGTGCGTCCCACAGCTCCGGTCTCTTGCGCCAAACTGCATCACGAAGATGGCGGAGGACTTCTTGGTAGTACTCCTTATTGACAGTCTGGCCTAGTGGTGCGTACTCATGATGCACAACACCCCGGTAATCGAAAAAGAACAGTATAACCTTCACATTGCTCCTAACCTGTCGTGGTCTTTTGGGCCTCTGGGATGTTGGATGCTTCCATTGTGGCGCCTGGACCTTGGTTTCCGGGTCATATCCGTACACCCACGACTCGTCACCAGTAATCACAGTCTTCAGGAACTCAGGGGCCCTGTCGGCCCACTCGAGCATGTCCTGCGCGACCTCAAGACGGACTTGTTGCTGATCGGGGGAAAGCAACTTGGGCACAAATTTTGCCGCCACCCTTTGCATTCCCAAATCCCTAGTTAAAATTGAGTTTGCGGAATCTCTGCTGATCCCAACATCATCAGCAGCCTCCCGCATAGTCAAACGACGGTCCTCCATGATCAGTGTCCGCACTTTTTCAGTGACATCAGCATTTCGGCTCGTTGACGATCTCCCGGAATGTTGGTCACTGTCCACCGACATCAGGCCATCTTTAAAGCGGTTGAACCACTCTTTTAATTTGAGTGACCCCCATTGCATCATCGCCGAAAGCCTGCTGAATTTTGCGGATTGTTTCCGCTTGGGTATCCCCAAGTTTTTGACAAAACTTAATGCAGTATTGCTGCTCCAAGCGTTCTGTCATCTTTAGCGAAACGAGAATGAGACGAACACTTGTTACACCACTTCGCTATCTGGCAGCCACAGACGCATCGGGCGGTGTTGCGAGTCAGCAAAAAATCACTCATGCGCGTAAATGTCCCTTCTGCCACTACGCTCAGTTTCCCCATCCCTTTGACCATTACTTACAGCAGCAAAAAATAAAGTCGGACACTATTTGGACAGCGGTGTACACTATTTACACATTATAATGTGTTGGTTTTCTGTCTATTGGTTAACATTATAGTTGTATTGTTGAAGTTGTAAGTTTTGAATGTTTTATGTGAATTTGGGGCGCTGAACACATTAGCTGACCGCCTCACGCGTTTCATTTGTTGTGCTGTTCTTCTCCGGAGCGGCTTGGCCCAAGTTCTTGATGTAACACTGTTATTTGTAAGACATGGGGGTAGTTTCTTTGGTTTCGCGGTCATTCTACGAGCAAATGGGGAAGTCCCTTTCTATGTTTGTTGATGCTGGATTGTGCAGCACCTGCGTGTCTGGGAGGTGGCTGTATTGAACCATTGCTTCTTGACACAACTTACAAATCCACTCTTCATGATTAACTTCAATTACAACTTCGCTTTCAACTTCCATTCTAGCCAAAGAACTGACTATACGCCATGCTTCGATTACGTAGTAACCGAAGTTTACATGTTATTAGTCTGGGAGCATGAGATAGGCAGGACGTAGAGCACCATGGAAAATATCTGTATACTCAGTTTTAACCGAGGAAAAACGCTAAAAGGAAGAGGCATATTGCATCTGTCGATTCACATTACGATTTTTTTGTGTGAATTCTCTCCAGCAATATAGCTATCGGCAAGAGCAGTGACTGTGTGCATGATCCTACTTATGTCGTATTGCTTTTTGACGACTGTCACTGTAAAACGCTTCCGATTTACGTGTATAAGGACACCCCCACACTATGACAATCCCACCCCCACCTCCAATAATTGCATTGAGTTAAATCAGCAGCAGTGGAAGTTGTAACCCTGCAGTAGAAAATTTTTCCTGTGGTATGTTATTTCTGTTTCGGTGAAAAATACTATCACGTGAGGGAGTGACTATAGACGGGGTTTAGATTGGAGACTGGACTTACTGATCACATTAACACACGACTCGTGCCTACAATAAATTTTAGCTCCATCGCCCACTCCACAGTTTAGAACTCTCTACAGTGTACGCTAAGTCTATTTGGTCTGCTGTGTCTTCACCGGTAGTTCCCTTATAACGGCTTATAACAGTGTAGATTCTTCATCTTCCGAGCTCACTTTGTTGCCTGCTTGTTCTCAAATGCACCGGCTATTCCTTCTGTTCACAGACTCCATTACAACTGATTTACACTTATACTCTAAACTTGTCCCAATGATAATCACTTGGCACGAATAGCGTAGTAAACACCGTTTCCAATAATTCCTCTATTGTTACGTGTGAATTCGTTGCCATGACAACATGTTTCTTTGCGAAGGCGTTACTCAGTAATAGTTGCGAACATTTGCTTGTTAAGAATCTATTGCTTCATTGTTTGTTTCGTGGTCGTTACCCAGGAACGGATACATGATACAATATCGCGTCAGTAGTAGACTGTAACCGGTGTCTCGCTTTCTGCGTCCCAAACTCACTACTGACTTTCCGTATACTAAGGATCTGAGCCCGTGACCTCCCGAATACCAAGTAGGAATGCTACCCGCTCCATGACGACAATCAGTCCCTACTCTTGTAGGACTGGCCTCTATGTGTCTGTCGCCTCAGTCAGCTGAAGGACTCAGCAAAACTGTACTATACTGATTCAGTTGAGAAGTTATTCGGTTATGATATATATTGTGATAGAATAATCAATGCTAGGCAACGGCTCGTTAAACACTGCTTGAAAAGTGGAATACCAGCAGAAGCGGAAGTCACTTTTCTAGGCAAAGGCTTGTTAATTCCTGTTTTCGAGGCAACAAGTATTAATAAAATATTTTTGTGACAACAAACAGAAAAACAGAAGGCAATTAACTGATCGACATGGGGACTTATATTCGGGTCGCATGGCAGTTATAATAGAGAGTTCATTTGTGAATTTAAGAGATTATTCCGAAATTCTCCATAAGGCATTCGTCAGACAGGAGTCGTAATTCATTCAGGAGTTCAATGTGTGAGCTCTTGTAATTGATTGTAGTTGTAATGAAGTTCCAATAAACCCAGTCATCAAATCCAGAACCCATTATTATTCGTCACACTAAAACCCTTATGCGTGACAATATGAACAGAAGGGGATATTTATCGTCGTTTGAGAAAACGATCATGACTGGCGAGTTAGAAAGACTGAAAACTACAAGGAGGTATCCGGTTTAGTCCGGAAGGACAATCAATAAAGTGCCCATCAATTGAGCCGGTTCTGCGACCGAGATGCAAACCAAATACCAATTTCGTATTGTAAACAGCTTACTTTTATTGATGTGGCTTGAATAAAGTTTTCTTCGTGTTTTAGTAGTTCGTAATGTTTTATATTGTCCTTGATGAGTATTGCTGATCCTCCATGAGCTGTTCCATCTGGGTGGTTAGTGTAGTATAGCTTATACCTCGGGATGTTGAAGTACGTTCTGTTGGTGAAGTGAGTTTCGCTGATGAGGAGTACGTCAATTCGGTTTTGTGTTAGGAATAAATTTACTTCATCTTTGTGGCTTGGGAGACCATTGGCATTCCATTGTGCTATTCGTAGGAACTCGGCCATTTTTTTAGTTAAGTTTGTTGATTAGCATGGTTAGCATGTTGAGTATCATACTGTTCTGTTGCATTCATTCATTCATCAGTAATCTGTCAGACGACAGGTCCACAGTCTCCCCCAAAACAGTTCGTCCACTTAATGCGATCTTCTGTTTTTGGAAAGAGACTATCCAGGAAAAGTGATAATGTGGTAGTTTTTCCATTTGCTTTCCACATCGCAGTACAACAGCCGTTCAAACCACTCTGGTCACGCCTGTTGCTATACGAACTTGAACCATCTCGAGCATCATTTGCTCTGTGCTTCAAGTCGCTGCTGATGACGCTGCTTCCGGCATCAGTTTTTGGTGTCTCTCTTCGTCTGATGCCTACCCTTTGACCTGTCCAGCAAGGGAGGCCCTGCCAGTAGCTACGCTACCGCTGGTATAGCTCTCAGGGTCCTTGGCATACTCAAACTCAAATACTGTTGCATTAGCTGGTTAAATAGGTTTTTTAATTCGTCTAGGAAAGTAAAGAATATGTTGTGTGTGTCTTCTGTCTGGATTATGCTTTGTTTGGTTACTTCGGCATAACTTGGCCGCTGCGGGTGTACTATAGGTTGTATGTTTTTGTGAGGTTGATGTAGCCGCTGTGCGTTGTGTGATGGGTTTGTTGTTGCCAGCGATTAGCCTCTGGTAATGCTCACATCCTTTGTAATTTGCAGGGTGGTCTCCTCCACATAGTGCGCATTTAGCTGGCGTCTTCCTTGATTTCTTGCACTCTGTTGTGTTGTGCGAACCTCCGCATTTGACACAAGCAAACGGTCTGTTGCAATACGATTTTGAGTGTCCGTATTGCTGGCATCTCATACACTGGATCATGTAATTTTTTTTTGTTGTTCGAGGTGGTTCTATTTCTATGATTTTGTTTTGTAGTCCTTTAATTTTGTACACTTCTTTGTTATTACTGGCTGGTTCGAGGTCAACAAAGAACATGTTCAATGGTTCCTTTGTAAGTCTGTTCCGTACGTTTATTATGTTGCGGACTTTGTGTCATAGTCGGAGTAGTTCCTCTTTGATGTCTTCTGTGTCAGTGGAGTAGTGGAGATATCTTATGACAATTCTATATGCTCTGTCTTCCTTCAGTTGGTATGCATGGTGGTATATGTTTTTTTCCTTGAATTCTCTTACTAGTTTGCGGTAAGTGTCTGGTGTATTACAATTGATTTTAACTACGTTATTCGCTAGGCTTTTTGTGTAGTACTGTTCATGTTCTACCAGTACTTGTATTTGTTTAACCATTTCTCTGTAGTTGACCACACCGTGTACAAAGATTGGTGGAGGTTTTGGTTCTCTTGCTGGGGTGGGGTTGTCGTTATTGTCAGGTGGAGTATGATCCTCAATGGTTAGAGATTCATATCTGTTGTTTGTTGTTACTGTATTTGTGTCATGAACGGGTTTGTTCTTGAGGGTCTTTTTTCTTTTGACGCTTTTGACCACTTGCCAATTACTGGAATGGGTTGGTGACCTTTCTTCTTCCTCTTCGCTCGTGGATGTCATTCGTTGGGATTGTCGATTGTTATGTTAGTTGGTTGGATGAATACCAATTACTGGTGTTACTTGAGGAAGTGGTGGGAAGTAGTATTCAGTTTGTGGTGCATATTGAAAAGTTGGTTGGATAGCCTGCACTATTTGTGTCAGTGGGTATGCTGAGTTCTGCGTGGCAGGTATTGGGTGCCATTGATTTGGTGGCTGGGTGCTTATCATGTTGGTTTGGTCGGAATTAGTTCCGTACGGAAACATGATTACGTCTAATGTCTACTTACATTACTTTGTTGTACGTGCCCGTAGTCAACTCCTTGACTACAGTTGATTCTTGATGTTTGTTGTTGAAATTCGCTAGTAATTCACTAGTTATTGCACTCACTTGGTCGGGTTGCAGCTACTTGTTTATGCTAAGAGCCTCTAGCGAGTACTCTGTGTCTTATGAATTATACTGTTTACTATGTACACAGTTCACGGAGAGATACACGAAACACGTCCTCGCCGTTCGGTGTGCGCAGTAGAAGTCCTCTCGTCTTATTGCATATATATTTGGAAGAGTGTCGTTATGTATGCTAGCAATGAACCAATGGTTGATGGAATATCTGTTGAGTATGGGACGGGCACGACATGTAGCATGCAGAATTTTAATGAGAACCGTAAAATCCATGTAGAGATCCTAGGCGTTCGTAGAAGGAAAATGGAAAAACTGATCTCACGGAAAAATGATGGACAGGATTCATTTGGCTCGGGATAAGGCCCATGAAGTGTTCATAAGGCTCTTATGAACACAAAAATAAAATTTCAGAGTCAAGAATGGTGTGACATCTTTCGACAAGCTAAGCGACCATCATCTCTGAAGCAGAACCGTGCTGCATTGTGTTAGATTCAAACCTCTAACCCGATGTGTTATTTTTGTTGACAGTCTCCACAGCCTGCAGAACCATGGACCGGTGTGCTGGACGCTACCAAGGAAGCCCCTGTGTGTGTCCAGCGAGGGTTCCTCCCCAGCGATATAGAAGTCAGAAGACAAGAAGACTGCCTCAACCTCAACGTCTACAAACCACGGATAACGTTCTCTTCCACGGATGATAAGCCGACCTTATCAGTTGGCATCGAAGTGTGTAAATTTCCCACAACTATTCGCTCCCTGGCCATCACAGTGATCGCCCTTTCTGAGGCATGAACTGACTTCGCTCGCTCGAACGCTGGGATCGTGGGTTAGAATCCCATTCAAGGTACGGATATTTGTACAGTGTGAGTTCATTGTACGTTTGTATTGTTCTGTGTGTAGGTAGAGGCCTTGCGATGGACTGATCCCCCGTCCAAGGGATCCTACCGACTGTGTATAGGATTAAGAAACTGAAAAAGCGGCGAAGGCCCAACAAAAGGCTGTAGAACCATAATAATAATAATTCAATTCAATTCAATTCAATTCTTTATTATTTATGTGCCAAGTCAACAGCCGCACGGTCAATTACAGACGGAGCACAGGGTAGATGAAAGTAATTCTATTATAGACAAACACATAAGTCATAGACAAATTACAGTCAAAACTTGGGAAAACACAATAATGAAGAAAAGTGACCAAACAAATAAATGATAATAAAAACAATAATAATAATTTCATTAACATAAAACTAAGTGTATTAAGAAGTGAGAAATGAAACATAAATATTTAATTAATAATAATAGCAATGATGATAACAATAATAATAATAATAGTAATAATAATTCAATTCGTGTTTATTTACGTGCAAAACTTAATAACACAGCGGCCAATAACAAAGTTGGTACGAGTACATGAAATACAGATATAACTAAAAGACAAAATGCAAAAAAGATAGTCTATATAATTGCATTAAATTAATAATAATTCAAAGAAAAATTAAAGTTAGCATTAACAGGTGAGAAAATAAAATAAGTACATTTTGAATGGTTGTTATGCCGTGGTGGCAGGGGGAGTGGAGGTATCCCCCCGCTGCCACCACTGTTACGCCCCTGCGACAGGGGTGCATTGGTTATCTCACCGCTGTCTCCACTGTTACGCCGTAGTGACAGGGGGCGTGGAGGTGTCCCTCTCTGTCACCTGGTTTAGTATGCTGCCACCATCTTCTTCTGTCAAGAAAACTCAAGTAAACTTATCGATCGCTTACGTCACTGGTCCTGCCTTTAACTCGCAATTCGCCGAAAGTTTGGGAGGTGCTGGAGTCGTCAGGGAAGAGGGTAACACTTGAGGGAATGCTAGGTTTAATTAATATCACAGCGCATTTGTATCCTACTCTATTCACCTATGTCGCTATATACATCATATATACACACTTTGCCGACGTTCGTCGGTTCGCATTACGTTTGGTTATGACCCTGTAGCACACACATTAATTCTATCTCCTGTCACCCTGCTGTTGGGTATTCTATGCCTCTGTCTCTCTTTCTCAGTAAACCTAGTCCATTTAGTTTTCACTTTCTCTCCCTGGGGTTTGCACTTTAATATTATCACACTTAATGTTCATGGCTGTATGAAGCTGGTTCACTTACTTGATCTGAGGAAACAGACGCTCGCCATCACCAACCAACTCCTGCTCATTGCCATTACTCTCTCGGCGATAGCCTCCGGCTGCACTCTATGTCAATTAAAAATATTAAAAAGTCAAAAGTCAAAAGTTTTTTGATTGATTCCTCTAGGGTTTGTGTACCCTCTTTTTGCTGACTCGTTGGGTTCCGGGGTGTATTGGCCCGCCCATTCTGACGTGATTTTGGGTCGGTGTGGCCCACTCATTGGCTGTTTATCGAAAAGGGGTTGGCTCTTTCAGGTCTACCGCCTTCTCCGACTCAGCATTTTCCTCATACCATAGTGCTTATGACCTACTTCATATAGCTTCTTCCTCAATGTCATCGTTATTACCTGTCATGCTAGCATTCTGATTACTAAGCTATAGTCTGTTACACTCAAGGTTCCTGGTACGTTTCATTATTTCTGTTTCTTAATCTTAAAGTCTCGATACACTTTTTCCAAATTTACCCAAAGAACTATATCTACGTGTACACAAACCTTGTGCCATTACAATGGTTATTCCATTATGTGGTGAGTAAGGACAATACACATACATACACACATAGGATGAATAATAATAATAATCCAATTAATTCTTATTTATTCGTGTGGCAGCTCAACATCCTAATTCAATTCATGTTTATTTATGTACAACTTAACAGCACAGAGGCCAATTAAAAGGTTGCATGAGTACATAGAATTACATAAAAATAATTAAAAAACAAATAAAAATTTGAGTCTACATAATGAGAAGATGCCAAGATGAATTAAAGTTAACGTTAACAGGGGAGAACAATAAAATAAGACAACATACACACGCAAGTAATATTAAGAGTATCATTAGCAAATATTATTAACAATTTTAGGTTCAGTGCCATTGACAGAAAACTGTGGCCTTCTCTGGCCAATTCATATGCACGACAGCCAGACCGTCAGCATTTTCGGCGGCCACAGGAGAACCCTTAGCCAAAGGTTTGGCAGATTTGGAGCCGCCTAGTAACCAAAGCGTTTCATATTTTGTGGATTACAATCTGGTTGAGGAACATTGTATTATTAGGAGAAGGGAGGGGTAGCGAGAGGATTTCTCAGTCGCCCTCTATCTCACCTCCAACGTCCTCATCGTAATGCTGTAATTGTAACTGAAGCAGACTTGCATTTATTTTCAGAAGGTCTGTACATAATATAACACGAATAAAAGGTAAATTTGTGTCTGTGCATAATAAATAAACACTTACTTACTTACTTACTTACTTACTTACTTACTTACTCATGGAGCTGAGCCTTTCTGGAGGAGCCACCAATTCTGCAGCTACTCAAGAATTTCCCAGCATTTTATGGAAGCCAAAGGTTCATCACCGTTTTCAAATGACCCCTCCACTGGTCCCTATCCTGAGCCAGATCTATCCAATCCATACCATCCTATCCTATCTCTCTAAGATACACATTAATATTTTCCACCCACCTACGCCTTGGTCTTCCCAGTGGCCTCTTTCTTTCTGCCTTTCCCATCAATATAATATACGCATTCCTCGTCTCACCATTCGTGCTACATGACCTCTCCACCACATCCTCCTTGACTTGATAATTCTAATTATACTAGGAGAAGAGTTCGAGCTATCAAGCTCCTCATTATGCAGTTTTCTCCAAACTCCTGTCACTTCATCTCTCTTTGGTTCAAATATTCTCCTCAACACCCGGTTCTCAAACAGCCTCAGACTATTCATTCATTCATCTGTAATCTGTCAAGACGACAGGTACACAGTCTCTTCCCAAAGAGTTCCTCCACTTGATGCGATCTAGAGCCTTCTCCTTCAAATGAAAATATCATCTTCTGTCCCCAAAGTCATCCAGCATCCACTTACATCTTCTTCCTCGTCTTCTGGTCACTTCTATCCGCCCCTCTCTCTTTCCTTCAATAACTTCTTTTAGAAGGCAGTTATGGCGTAAGATATGACCAATCCAATTAGCCTTCCGTTTTCTTATTTCATGTAGGATATTCCCTCTGCTCACTGACTCTAAATAACATTCCTTCATTTCTCACATAATCGGTCCAACTGATCTTCCCATCCTTCTCCAACACCACATTTCGAAGCTTGCCAGGTGTTTCTGATCTGCTGCCCTAAGTGTCCAAGTTTCAGCCCCATACAAAGTTATGTTACAAATATAGCATTTCACTAGTTTCTTTCTCAAATTCAAGTCCAATTTGCTGGTAAAAAGATCCATCTTCTTGATAAATGCAGCTTTTGCCATGGCAATCCTGGATTTAATTTCACTAGTACACCTTCCATTATCTGTTAACAAGCTACCCATGTATTTAAAACATTTCACATTCTCCAGTTGTTTTTGGTCTATATTTATTGTGACTGGGGTTGGTTGTCTCGAAATTTTCATTACTTTTGTTTTTTCCCAAATTCATTTCAATTCCATAGCACCTTCCAATTTCGATTAGTCTATCAATCATGCCCTGTAGCACAGTTTCTTCCTTAGCCATTAACACAAGGTCATCTGCATATTTCACAGTTTGAATAATTTGCCCTCCTAATTTCAAGTCTCCAAGCCCATTCAGAGTTTCTTTGGTAAGGCATTCGCTGTAGAAGTTGAACAAAATTGGTGATAAACAGCATCCTTGTCGAACTCCTCTTCCAATCTTCACACTTCTTGTCTCCCCTCTGCCCAGTTGCACTCTAACTTTCTGATTCATGTACAATTTACTAATCAATTTTCTTTCACGCCAATCGATGCCTGTTCCCTTTAAAATCTGCATTAATTTGGTCCAATCTACACGATCAAATGCCTTCTGCCACTCTATAAAGCAAACACACAATTCTTCATCTATCTCCAAAGTTCGTTCTGCTATAATTCTCATCATCCCAATTGCAAACCTGGTTCCTTTTCCTCTTCTAAATCCAAACTGATCTTCTCCAAGTACATCCTCTATTTTCCTTTCAATTCTTCTTTTGAGTATCTTTGCTATTATCTTTGTTGTATATGCAATAAGGCTTATTGTGCGATGGTCACTGCATTTTGTAGCTTTTGTCGTCTTCTTTAAGGCAATCATTGTCACTTTTTTTAAAGTCATTGGGCCACTCCCCATTTTCATATATATAGTGTTTATTAGTTTTGTCAGTGTTTTCCTCAGTCTATATTCCTCCATTAATGTCAGAGACCAAGTTTAACACCCATACAGAACCACAGGCAAAATTAGAGTTTGTATATTCTAATTTTTATGTTTTTTGGACAACAGACGAGAAGACAAAAGTTCTGGATTGAATGGTAGCAAGCATTACCCGAGTTCAATCTCATCTTAATTTCCTCATTGAAGCGCAGGTACCCTTCAGAGGATCCTTCAGGGTGCGTATAGATTCTCGTGACCACAGGACTGGGCGAGCAGGGGAGGACAAAGAAATCAGCAAGGCGGGAATACCCAAACAGAAATAACCAAATGAAACATTAACAAAAAATAAATATAATATTGTAACGTGTTTAAACACTGAAGACGCCGTTCGGGTTGTTAATTGGTTTATTTAACAACCTACAAGTAACGGCTACAATTAATTATAACAATGTTGC